CAGGAAGGGAATGGAGTATCCTTGCCCTGGGGTGGGGAGGGAATGGAGATTTTACAGTATCCTTCCCCTGCCATGCCCAGCAAGCCACACCACAGAACCGGTAGTAAATTTTTTTGAATCCCACCACTGATGTGTAGGAATATACAGGAGATTCCCCCCCAACACTTTTTGGACTTCCTTTTGAAGTCCTAAATCCTGAAACATGGATCAGTGCAGCTTTTCTAGAACAAAAATACAGTATTTTACAGTACTGTTATGAAATCTGATTCAAGGACTGTCTTTCCAAATGGAGCTTGGGCCATTCCCTGAGACTCTGGCTCACGACTCGACGGAAGACCTGGTGGCCGTCTGGGATAGGGTGGCCGCTGGTGCTTTAGATCAGGTCGTGCCTTTGCGGCCTCTGACCCGGCGCCGAATCAGCCCAGCTCCTTGGTTCTCCAAGGAGCTGAGGGAGATGAAGCGCCGGAAAAGATGCCTAGTGAGTAGTTGGAGGGCTAGTCATTCTGGATCTGACCGAGCACTAGTGACGTCTTATATCAAGACCTACTTAATGGCGATAAAAGCGGCGAAGTGTAACTACTTTTCTGCTCTTATCGCGTCGGCAGATAATCGCCTAGCCGCCCTGTTTAGGGTGACCCGCTCCCTTCTCCATCTGGGATTGCGGGAAGACCCCTTGCAAGGGTGTGCTGAGGATTTTGCGTATTATCTGCACGATAAAATCACTCAAATTCGGGACGGCTTGGACTCTGACTGGGTGGGTTCAGGCGAGGTGTCTGAGGCAGGTCTTGAGACTGTTATCTGGGAGGAGTTTGATCCTGTGACTCCCGAGGACATGGACAGGATGCTGGGGAGGTTGAACGCAACCACGTTTATTGGACCCATGTCCCTCCTGGCTGGTGCTGGCTACCTGGGAGGCTACACGAGGCTGGCTCCAGAGGATTATAAATGCTTCTTTGAGTGAGGGCTTCTTACCTCCCGCCTTGAAAGAGGCGGTGGTGAGGCCCCTCCTCAAGAAGCCTTCTCTGGATCTGGCTGTTTTGGCAAATTATCGTCCTGTCTCCAACCTTCGCTTTGTGATGAAGGTTGTCGAGAGTGTGGTTGCGCGACAGCTCCCACAGTACCTGGATGAAACTGTCTATCTGGATCCATTCCAGTCCGGCTTCAGGCCTGGGTACAGCACGGAAACGGCATTGGTCATGTTGGTCGATGATCTCTGGAGGGCTCGGGACAGGGGATGTTCCTCTGTCCTGGTCCTATTAGATCTCTCAGCGGCTTTTGATACCATCGACCATGGTATCATGCTGCGCCAGCTGGAGGGGTTGGGAGTGGGAGGCACCGTTCTACGGTGGTTCTTCTCTTATCTCTCCGACCGGTCGCAGTCCATGTTGGCTGGGGGGCAGAGGTCGACCTTGAGGCACCTTGTTTGTGGGGTGCCACAAGGGTCGGTCCTCTCGCCTCTCCTGTTCAACATTTATGTGAAGCCGCTGGGTGAGATCATCCATGGATTTGGGGTGCGGTGCCATCTGTATGCTGATGACACTCAGCTGTACATCTCCACCCCAGACCACCCCAACGATGCCCTTGAAGTGATGTCGCGGTGCCTGGAGGCTGTGCGGGTCTGGATCAGGAACAGGCTCCGACAAAACCCCTCCAAGACCAAGTGGCTGTGGCTGCCGGTGTCCCGATATAGCCAGCTGGTGCCATCGCTGGCTATTGGGGTGAGTCATTGGCCCCCACGGAGAGGGCTCGTAACTTGGGCGTCCTCCTGGATGCACGGCTGTCTTTAGAAGAGAATATGATGGCCGTGGCCAGGGGGGCTTTCTATCAGGTTCACCTGATATGCCAGTTGCGTCCCTTTCTGGATCGGGACTCCTTATGCACGGTCACTCACACCCTTGTCACCTCTCACCTGGACTACTGCAATGCTCTCTACATGGGGCTCCCCTTGAGGAGCACCCGGAGGCTCCAACTGGTCCAGAATGCAGCCGTGCGAGTAATTATGGGGGCGACATGGCGCTCCCATGTAACACCTCTCCTGCGCGAGCTGCACTGGCTCCTGGTGGTCTTCCGGATGCGCTTCAAGGTATTGGTTCTCATCTTTAAAGCACTCCATGGCTTAGGGCCCGGGTTTAGGGCTTACAAGACCACCTTCTACGGGACCACCTCTCAGCTCCCACAGAGAGGGTCTCCTCAGGGTGCCGTCAGTGAAGCAATGTTGACTGACGACCCCCAGGGGGAGAGCCTTCTCTGTGGGGGCACCCGCCCTCTGGAACGAGCTACCCCTAGGAATACAACTGATCCCGGTCCTCCGTACTTTCCATCGAGCTTTGAAGACCTTCCTATTTCAGCAAGCCGGGCTGGCTTAAAATTTTAATGGGTTATTTTATGGGTAAAGGGTTTTAAATTTTGGGAAGCCAATTTGATTTAATTCTGTTTTAATTTATTTTAATTTTTATATTGCATGTATTTTAATCTTGGCTGTTCACCGCCCTGAGTCCTTCGGGAGAAGGGCGGTATACAAATTTAATAAACCTTAACCTTAACCTTTCCTGGAAAAAATATGGGTTGGCTTAGCTTGTGGTTGTATGTGTTGTGGTAAATCTAGCCGTTGTCTTAGTATCTTATTCACACCAGGCCACCATGTAGTATTTTTAAAGAGCATTTCACACAAGTACAACCATTGCAATTTGTTAACCCAGACTCTACTTTCTGATTGAAGTTTTATATCTTCGCAATTTGTCTCTTATATAAGTCTATAGTGTTCATGTCTCTTGTTCAATGTCATCTGTTCAGTTTTTTTCCTCCATCCTTTAAACAATCTAGAATTTAATTTTGCCAAATAAACACTTTTCTGACCTTATTCATAGGCTATGCTTTTTCAGAGTTTCAAATGAGAGTAGAACTCAGGGATTTCAAAAGGTTTCAACTTACCAAAAGAAGAATATATTTGAAGTTCAAGGTTGAACTATGGGGTCTTTGGTGTTCTCTGAGCTTGGTTGTTTTCTTGCAGACATTTCATTACCAAATTGGGTAAGATCAGTGCTAGTTTGGTAATGAAACGTCTGTGAGAAAAGAGCTCAGAGAGCATCAAGGACACTGCAGTTTTAACTTCCTGCCTTTCTCTCTTGTGCTTACATTGTAGTTCCCCATTAATATTAGTAGTTCCTCATTAATATTAGTAAATAATACTAATGACCAGGATTAATTTATCCTACATTATCTGAAGGCAAGCTCTTTGACAAAGGCTCTAACAATGGGAAAAGCAGAAGGAAAGAGAAGAAGGCTACCACCCAAAAGGTAGAGAGACTTTGTTACAGTGATGATGAATGCACTTTTTGGAGACTTGAAAGACCAGATTGAGAAAAGAGCCTTGGTAGTACGGTGGTCTAAGGCACCCTGTTATTAAGCTGGTTATTAAGACCAGCTGCCTGCAATTACTGCAGGTTCGAATCTCGCCAAGGCTCAAGGTTGACTCAGCCTTCCATCCTTTCTAAGGTAGGTAAATTGAGGACCCAGTTGTGGGGGCAATAAGCTGACTTTGTATAAATATACAAAAGGATGAAGGCTATTGCTGAGCACATTGTAAGCCGCCCTGAGTCTCTGGAGAAGGGCGGCATATAAATCAAATTAAAAAAAAGAAAAGAAAAGAAAATCTATCTGTGTGGTTGGTAGGAGTTGAAAACAACTTGATGGTGCATAATCAATCAATCAATCAATCAGTCAATCATACTGACTAACATGGATCCTCTGAATCAAGCTTAGGATAACATTTGAAATTCCTTTAAAAAGTGGCAGAAATGAAATGCCTCTCAACACCTGTCCTTTAGTATTATCAGGAAAATATGTTTATGAAATCTTTCACCTAGGTCTTTTTAATTAAAGAATGATTCACACATATATTTTCTTATGTAAAGTTATATTCTGACCATCCTTTTATCTGACTAATCTAGTCGACAATGTTTGCTAATTCAAAAATATACAAAGACCCAAAGTCGTCTCCCAAAGGATAAGATATGTTTCTTTATCAAAAGGAAACCTTCAGTTTGACTCCAAACAAATTTATCTAACTTCTGTGGGATTCAGCCTCTTTGTAGCTTTGCGTAACATTCTAGTACTAGGTAAGAAAAGTCTTACACTTTTCTCAGCTGTGAGAAAAAGGTGTAAAGTTCATATTTTACTACAGAACAGGTCACAGTTACTTTTGCTTCATTGTGACTCTTTAAACATGTACCATACTGAACAGAGGAACATGTAGTGAAAATACAACTTTTTCAGAAACTTTTGAAGATGCTATGTGATTTCTGTTATAAGAAACTTATGGTGCAAATGTGGGAATTGCTGGAAAAGAACATCTGTGTGATTGATGGTTCAGACATTCCTTCCGTTGTGTAGTCACGGGTATGCATGAGATCAAAATGAGTGAGGATGGTGGTTAATTAGCCTTGAATTTTTAAAAATCCAATCATCCTTTCCTTCTCCACACCTACAGAGTCAAACATTTCGTTATATCTTGCTACCTAAATAATAAGTAACTTTATTATAGTTTTAGATCAGTTTTTATCTAATTATCTATATTTTCCTATTCACAGGGTATTTGTGGGCATATCATTTATTATATGCAGGAGAGTGAGACTATCAGAAGACTATTTTGAAAGCACCATGCTAGACTGACAGCAGACTTAAAAAAAAAAACATTCTGTGCCCCGTTTTTCATTTATAGACTTAATTGAAATCAATGAGCAACTCACAGATAAATGCATAGTAGGGTCACAAACTCATCACCTGAAATCTCAAACTACTACAAAACACCACCCTGAAACTACTTTAAAATCAGTGTCATAAACATTTGATTGATAATGGTAAACATTGATACCCACCAGAAGAATAATGGAAGGAAGAGCATTTTACATGTGTTTTAGAATTAAAATGGAAACAATAACAAAGACAACAATTGGTGTATCCCAAACAGCATTCTGTGTGAGGAAGGAACCAGGCCTTACCATGCAGTAGTGCATCAGGAGGAGAAAATCTGCCAGCATGCCACAGCAATTAAACTCAGCATAGAAACTAAATTCCCTTTGGAAGGCGTGAAGATTATCCAGCTCATCTTTCTCTGCCAAATGGGCAGGTTTTCTCTAGCCTTCAATCTTTCACCAGTAGTCAAAGCCTTAGCGTGCATCCTACTTCAGTCAGTGGGAGGAATATTTCCTCCAGCTTTGCAATGCCATTTCTCATCAGCCTGGAGAAGTTCTTCATTCCTCTGCTGGCATCAGAGAGACTCCAAGAGAAACAGATAAAGATGGGGAAGGGGGGAGGGGGGGAGAAAAGGTAAGAGAGAAAAAGGATCTTAGTAATGTATATTGAGGCACTGTCAGCTCTCTGAAAAGTAAAGAGGCATTCTATTTTCATACTCTGAGCAATCCAATTTTATCCATTTTACCTGCAGAGAGGCAATTATTTTGTAATGAACAAACATTCACAATTCCCACTTGGCACACATTGTGCAAATACAATTCAGTTTTGTATCACCAATGAATATTCTCCCAGCCATCAACAAAGAAAAGGAAAGATACTTCTAAACTTGCCCTTGCTTAGGCAGTCAAAATTGTATATTGGTATTGGAAAGCAGCTGGAGAAAAGAGGCATAATGCTCAGTAAAATCTTCCTTGAAAGAGAAAAAAGACTACAATTCATGTATCGCAACCGCCTTAGATGAGGTTCTAATTCTGATTTCAAAAGGGTTAGGTGTCAAAAATAGGAGTGGCGGGAAGGACATCTGGGGATGGGCGGATTCTTTGAGCTGCTCTGTTCCCATTACTAGTAACGTTGACTTTCCCAGATCTTTCTGTAGAGCTTGTTAACTGATTGTGGTTGCTGAACAATTAATTTCACCACAGTCAGAATATCACTAAAAAGAGGAAGATGCCAAATGTATAAGTGAGGCTTCTTTCTCTGATCTTCAACTGTAAAGATGTATTAATGTTAATCCCCTTTCTGCCTGGTGTTTGTATATCTCTGTGCCTGTTTTAAGAATAAAAGAATTTTGACATTCATATAACTTAATACATGCATACCCAATCCCCTTGCATCTAATTATTCCTGCAGTAGGCCCAGCTAAGAAGCCCTTGTGAGGTTAGGCAAATAGTAAGGCTGCTGCCATTCAACTCAAGTTCTTCAGTATTCATCAGTTTCCATATAGCTGATTCTAATTTTACAGTTAGAACCCCATCCTTATAGATGTAGGTTTGGTATCTTGTGATTAACCTGCATTTTGAGGCTGCTTAATCAAACTAATTCTTCCTATTTATTCTCTCAAGTTGTGAAATAACATTTTTTTTGTTCCAGTCCCAGATCCTGTAACTGTTGTCCCCTCTTTTATTGTACCAAGTGTCCAGTGCCTACTAGATACTTAATTCTCATTAATATATAACCTTCTCTTTTTGATGTCTAAATTAAACAAGGTTTAGAGGGGGAGAAAGAGGTTGCAGGATTATAAAACTTGCCCAGTGAAATCAACCCCTTCATCAGTCAAATTTTGAGGCCTACCACTTGGGCTCATTGTGGGAGACTGGTACTGTGCTGGTACTGTAAGTGGGTTGGGACAATTTCAATAACCATGAAGCTGTTTGTTTCGATCCTGGCACTTCCTTTAATGTTCTTCAGCCTTGGTATCCATCCTGCAAATTCTAAATTAGCCAGCAACACAAGAATTTCAGAAAACATGTGCAGATGGATGGGGGGGGCAGGGGGGACGGGACACAGTATAAAATTTGCAAAGGCAAATACATAGTGTGCATTTTAAGCATAGAAATGTGCATTCCCCTCTGTAACTCACTACGGCATTTGTCAATAGCAACCCATTATTTAAATGGTAAACTGGGTCAGGATTACAATTACAGGGGGAAGATCTCAACCTCTAATGATTAAATTGTTCCTGTCATCAAAAATGGAGCCTGCTGTTCTCTGCAGAAATGGATCATTTAAAATGTTAAGAAATGTCCTCTTAAAAAAGTAAAGAAAAACTACTAATATTAGTTGTAGGTTGGATATACTTCGTCTGAAACTTTTAATTGTGGCTCATATTTCATTATGAAGCCATTTCCTTGATAAAAGATAATAGAAGAACTTACTTTTAGATAGAACAGGACCCATGCTTTACCTAAATGAGTATTGCCTAACATTACTGTGGTTGTTTAGAATCTCTGATATAAAGCCTGTAGTTGGGGATGTATAGGACTTTTTTTCCCCCTTCCTCATTGCTTGTATAATTCACTGACACTTGACCTTTAGATTGCTTTCTGCTTGCAATTGCCCTTTTTTCTGTTCAACCATACTTTCATCTGGTGTATCTGGACTCTTGTGCCATATTTGTATGGCAGACTAAGCTGAAAAGCTCAGTAATTAGCATTTGTCACACATCTCCCTCAATTACATATGAATTTAGAATGTTCTGTGCCTTGTTGTGAACTTAAACTAGCTACTATCTGAGATTTATGGAAACTGAATTGTATAATCTTGGGAAATCTTGGATATGATGAGGCATTGAGCCAATGACATTGATACTTCAGTATCTTGTATCCTTCTAAATACAAGGGGGAAGTAGAAAGTATATTCAGAGTTAAGTATTTACCCTTTGTTCCTTTTATCACTGTCTGTTCTTTGTCTAGTACGGGGATGTCAAACTCGATTTCATTGAGGGCCGCATCAGGGTTGTGTTTGATCTTGGGGGGGGAGGGCATGGCCAGGGTGGGTGTGGCCAGCTCAACATCACTCATATTGGTGCCTGTGGTGGCTTGAGCACTCTGCCAGCGATAACGGGCTCCTGAGCTCCGTTTTTGGCTGCAATGGCCTCCTGCAACCCTCTGCCAGTAAAAATGGAGCTTGGAAGGGCCACATGCAGCCTTCCTGAGTTCCATTTTCACTGGCAGAAGTTGCAGGAGGCCATCACAGCAAAAAATGGAGCTTGGGAGCCCGTTATCACTGGCAGAGGCACCGGGGGCCGATCCTTCATTGTTTCCAGGGTGGCCCCATGGGCCGGATCTAAGCACCCTGTGGGCCGGATCTGGCCCCCGGGCCTTGCGTTTGACATCCCTGGTCTAGCAGATTGTTAATCCATGGTCACTTCTTTTTACCTTACTTCTTAAGCAAATGGAGTACATGGACTTCGATTTTCTTCCTGATAGGAAGTAGTTATCTAGACTCTGGACTTTGCCTATAATGTGTTCCCTCAAATAAATAACTTGTTATACTCATAAATCCTGCCTCAGTAATTATTCATGAGATCATATTCCCATACTTTCAGGAACATTCCCACATTGCAGAACACTTCAATCTCCAATAGTGTAAAGGTGACAATTCCTAGAACCCTGAAAAATAGTTTTATTTATTTATAATAATAAACAAGCTGACACTTCCTTTGCCCCAAGCAATTTTAAGTCACTGTTTTAATGACTCTCCCTCAATGAATCTTTGGGGGAGGAACATTTGTTTTCCCACAATGCTTTGGAAGGTAATTAAAATGGCACCTGCAGGCTTTCCAGGGAAAAGACTGCAGTGCTGCTTCGTGACAGTGTTTTAATATTCTGGTTGCCAGGCAAGCCAACAGGTCTCACAATCTTAGGAACCAATCAAAGGAGGCATTTTGTCCAGGGTCCTCACTGACAAACTGGAGCCAATTCTATTGGGAAACACTGACAGTAAGCATCCTTTAGCCTTCCACTCAGAACTGATGTTTCAGCAAAATGTTTTCTGCATTTTCTACATTTCTGCTGTTCTATTTTAGCCAGAGTCTTATATAGTATGGGGGGGGGGGAGGAGAGATTGGGGGAGTAATCCAGTTTTGTTTTCATCCACATATTGCAGTCTTAATTTCAATTCAAGATGTTTCTTTTTTTTATAGATTGAATTTGACTGCCTACTTTGCAGTCCTTTATAAAAATAACTTCTCAGCTTACCCCCACACTCTGTATCCCTGACTCAGAATCTGTGTTTGTAAAAATACCACACGCTGCAGTATATAAAAGAGTATCTAAATACCTTCTCACAAATGTGACAATTTTTTATTCAAAAACAGAGCTGCAATCTGTCTCTAAGATCAAGGCATCTCTTGGGGTTGAGACAGTGGAGATAAAATGAAGGGAAAACCCCTTTAGGAAATATTGGGTTCTCATAGAAAAGGACAGGATATAAATGAAAATAATCAATGGGATTTGTGAGTTGCTTTGTATTTGTGTCCCCAAAAAGGTGCTTTGAAGCACAGAAGGGTACAAATGTAGCCCTTTTGCAATATTTCAATACAACAGCATCATTTTTCAGAATCACATAAAACTTCTTGAAAGACATTGCTGTGTTTTAACAAAGCTTTCAAAAATAGCCCCATATACAGTGTATGGGAATTATCTAATATTGCACAAAGAATTGAATTATCATCACTGTGCAGAATAAATATCTCCAGGCTATCTCTGTCGTCAAGTGTGGTTATAACTGAAGAGCCAGTCTCAAAAAATGGAAATGGTTTTATACCATGGCATCTCTTAGACTTTTAAAATCAGACCAATCTTTATCTTCAAATTGTGAATCAGATATTTCAGGAGAAAATAGAGATTCATCCAGAACCAAGCACATATAACAAAAATCATCTTCTAAAATTTTCCTTTCAGTCAATTATTCAGCCAGCCTTTTAATTCTAATCAGTTCAAGTAACCATTTCCCCACCATCTAGACTGTGTTGTTTAGATATTAGTCTCCATATTTATACCAAAATGTTGATGCCTTCTTTTAAGAAATTCTTCTGTGCGGTTAAATCAATTCTGATTTTTATAAATGACTTACTGAATGGAGTGAAATTTGTGTTAAATTGGCACTAAACTAAAGAGGTTGTCTAACATCTTAGCGAATCAAAGCATAATTCAAAATGACATTGACAGACAGTCCAAATACCACAGGATGATGTTTAACTATAACAAATATAAAGAGCTATATCATGGCTGGGAAAATCAAATGCACAGGTTCAGGTTTGGCATGAGTAGATTAAAAGAATATAGACATCCCAGTGGACCATTAGCAGTATATGAGCAAAAATTTGGTACCGTGTTTTCCCGAAAATAAGACTCTCTTATATTTTTTTGAACCCCGAAATAAGTGCTTGACCTTATTTTTATTATTATTATTTTGGGGCACGTAGGGCAAGACGGGGCTCCTCTTGCCGTCTTGCCTGATTTCCAGCTCTGTCTCCCTAACCCTAACCAGAGGAAATGGTGGGGACCGGTTGCGCATGCATTTAAATACTTCTGGGTAGGGCTTATTTTCAGGGTATGTGTGTGTGTTATTTTAGTGCATGCGCTCAAAAGCCCAATTGGGCTTATTATCAGGGGATGTCTTATTTTAGGGGAAACAGGGTACCTCAGTTGCACTTGAAGTATTGTGTTCAGTTCTTGGGACCACGGTTTAAAAGGAAAAAAAACTGGAGCAGATTTAGAGAATTAGAATAATCAGAGCAGAAGTCCTATGAAGAATCATCAACAGAATTGTGCATGTTTGGTTAAAAAGAAGAGCAAAGCGGGAGATGTCCTCAGTTTAATGACCTAAATGATTGGTACAGGAAAGAGGAAAACTATTTTTCTAGGGTAAAGGATCAATAGATTAAATTTAAAAGAAAGGCCGAACATTAAAAAGAATTTCCTGACAATCATTTTGTTATGTGATGGATATCCTATTTAGAGGTTTTCAAATGGCAGCTGGGGATGATTTAGTAGATTCTTTTATTGAACAAAAGGATGGATTTGGCAACTTATATGATTGTTTCCTATTATAAGATTCTTCATTGTGTTATTGGTTATGTCCATGCCTCCTAGAACTGATAACAGCAAATCATCAAAACATAGGCCAATTTTTCAAAATATTAAAGAAAGACTTGTTGGCTTAACTGAGATTCTTTCTTTAATATTTAATATCTTCTCATCGTTCCCACCACCCATCGCCTTCCACTTATGACTGTATGACTGTAATTTTGTTGCTTGTATCATTTGTACTCTATGACTATCATTAAGTGTTATACCTTATGATTCTTGATGAACGTATCTTTTCTTTTATGTACACTGAGAGCATATGCACCAAGACAAATTCCTTGTGTGTTCAATCACACTTGGCCAATAAAAAATTCTATTCTATTCTTCTATTCTAAAAACTAAACTTTGTAGAACAAGCAGAAAACTTGCTCCAGATGACAGATTTTATTGCAATTGAGAATTAAGTGATAGGTTTTTTTTAAAAAAATAAAATAAAAAGAAAACCAGCTAGATGAATCAAGGAAGAGAAATATTGTTTTTAATGAGAAAAAAAATTAGCCCACAATAATAAATTTGAGGACTTGGAAATAAAATATGAGAGAGTCATATTTGTTCTTCACTGATGATGAAGCAATGGAACCAGATTTGCTGCCAGGTATGCATTCAGCTAAAATTTGCATTGAAATCCTCTCTGATGAGCATTCCTGCCTATTTTCAAAAAGGATTGATCACAAAATACTTTACATTGATAAGTATATATGAATTATCCAAAGTAGGTGCTACTTCAGCAGAATAGATTTATGAGAAGAAAATCAAATGCAAGTCTGAAGTGAAAAAAAAAAAAGCTGAGAAAGGATTCTAGAAGAAGAAGAAGCAAAGAAGTTTGCAGATGATTACGCCATAAAGTAGAAAGAGATTTTTCTAGTACTAGACAAAAAAAATAAATAAATCCTGCATTTCCCCCTATCAGATCTCACTCAGTTTAATTAAAAGGCCTTTGCTCTTGAAATTTTCACAGTGGAGAGTGATCTTGGACTTACTTCAATGCTTGGGTCTGAATGGCATGTCTTTCATTATATAATAATCTCTCCAGCAATTTGCATCCTCCCCGCCTTCTCCCAATTCAGTGAAATCTTAAATAATTTTTTTCTAAAGGAATTCCTCTTGGAATTTTTTTCCAGGCTGAGTACCGAGGACAGCCAGAGAAGCTATATAGTAGCAGAATAATGTGGAACTGCAATAGCATGGTAAAATAAGCTAAAATATTAGTAAAAGAAAAAGAATTTCTGATCTGCTTTGAAAATAAGGCCCCAAAAAAGGGACTTTTCCAAAAAAAGAAAGAAAGAAAACTTCTGAGAAATGGCAAAGCAGACTTTGGGCCCTCATTAGCTTTAGCACTTCCAATGGCTATAATTGCCAGCAAGAAAACACTAGTTAAAAATGTCACTGTATCCATTATACTGTATTTCTGGGTGAAATACAATGTGAATAAATGATTAAAATATTCAACATTAAATTAAAGCTGGAATATAATACCAATGGACAAGAATATTTCTTTCATTATCTTAACATTTCTATAATTTTCTAATTAAAGTCAAACCAACTAACAACCAACTCTGGGCAGCATAATTTTCCAAGAAGCTAGAAAGTTACTCCATAGTTTAAAAATTACTATCTATAGGAAATGTATATACCCTATGTACTTTTCAGCAAGTTAACGTTGTAATGTCCTATACAGTTCAATGGCTGCTTTATTGAAAAAAAGTTTAGCTCAGTCTCCCAAAAATATAGGAAAAAGGAGATTGGTTCTAGAGAGAACTTGAATACACCAGCAATTTTTGAAGAAAGTTACTGATATACAGTATCATTTGTGAAATTCCACTCTCAAGCCATCTGTTATACTATAATATAAACTTTGAAAATATAATATATTATATTATAAAGTAATATAAACTATGGAAAAAGCAAATAATTCTATATGTTTTACTGCAATTGACAGATGAGTAGATTGAACTGAAATATTTGCAAAGCGGTTCTGACCTATTTAATT